GGTCCTCGCCCAGCGGGCAGCGGGCGGGGCCGAAGGTGGTCTAACGCGCAGACTCCGTGCGCTCCCGAGTGGCCGCCTAGGGAACGGCGACGCCTCCTGGGCTTAGAAGGAAGCTTAGAGGCCGGGCGCTGGGGAGGGAGGGAGGGCAGGGGGAAGTGGACTGTGGGGGGGCTCCTGGTCCCCAAACTCTCAGGGGCCCAGAGGCCACGCCGACTCCCTCCCTGCTTCCTCAGCATCCGGGGGTTCTGAGCCCTAAGAAGGTGGCCTGCTCCTAGGGGACCCTCCCCCGCCCCCGTTGGTCTGAAAGGTCAGCCACACCCAGCCCCCTTCCTTGTGGGGCAGAAGCCCTGTTGTGCCCCTTCTCAGCCCCGAAACCGATGGCTGTGCCCCTCCCACAATGTGAACACAGTGCCCCGGGGTCGAGACCGTGTGCGTGGACCTGGGAGACTGGGAGGCCACGGAGCGGGCGCTGGGCGGCGTGGGCCCCGTGGACCTGCTGGTGAACAATGCCGCCGTGGCGCTGCTGCAGCCCTTCCTGGAAGTCACCAAGGAGGCGTGTGACACGTGAGCCCTGGGGGCGGAGGGCCCCTGGGTGGGAGGGTCGCCCCCAAAGCAGCAGCCCGGTCCCTGACCAGGACCCTCTGACTTCAGCTCCTTCGATGTGAACCTGCGGGCTGTCATCCAGGTGTCCCAGGTGAGCCACCCTGCGGGCAGGAGGGGGCCAGGCTGGGGACCAGCCGCCTCACGTCTCTGCATTTCCAGATCGTGGCCCGGGGCCTGATCGCTCGAGGGGCCCGAGGGGCCATCGTGAATGTGTCCAGCCAGGCCTCCCAGCGGGCACTGACCAACCACAGCGTCTACTGTGAGTGCCCCCAGCAGCACCCCACCTCCCCACCCCCAGCCTGCAGCTGGCCCCACCCACTTACACAGTCCCTCCTCATAGGTGCCACCAAGGGTGCCATGGACATGCTGACCAAGGTGATGGCTCTGGAGCTCGGGCCCCACAAGGTGGGCCTGCTGGGGTGACCCCATCCTTGGGTGCCCGGGGCCCCCCAGCCCACTGTGCTGAGCGCCCCCCCCCCCCCCCGCACAGATCCGTGTGAATACAGTGAACCCCACGGTGGTGATGACGCCCATGGGCAAGGCCAACTGGAGCGACCCCCTTAAGGCGAAGGCCATGCTGGATCGGATCCCGCTGGGCAGGTTTGCGGGTGAGTTGGCAGAGCCCGGCGGGGGGGGGGGGGGGGGGGGCCAGGGCCCCAGGCCTGCCTGGGCGAGGAGGAGGGAGGGAGCTCCCGTCTCCCCCTGCCCCCGACTCCGCCCGCAGAGGTGCAGAACGTGGTGGACGTCATCCTTTTCCTGCTGAGTGACCAGAGCAGCATGACCACGGGCTCTGCTGTGCCAGTGGACGGGGGCTTCCTGGCCACCTGAGCCCCGCCCCACAGCCCTGCTCCCTGCTGAGCCCCGCCTGCCCCCCCCCCCCCCAATAAACACGATGCTCCTGCTCAGCCCATACTGATTCCTGGGCTGCGGGCAGGTGGCCAGAGCTCAGGGCTGGGTGTGGACGAGTCCCAGGTGGGGAGGTGGCCATTCACCGTGGGTCCCAGGCAGGTGGCAGCCTCACTCCGGGGCCTGAGACTTTTGGATGGGGCCACCTTTCCGGGAGAGGCTGGAACCTTCCAGAAGTTTCTATAGTTACTAATCGAGTAGCAAAGTTCCTGAAAACCTCGCAGTTGGCTCTGCAGGCCAGTGAGCCCTCTCCACCCGCGGCCTTCAGGTCACGGCCCTGCCTGGAGCGGTGCCCGTGGCCTGGGGGTGAAGTCCAGGTCCCTGGACCATGGCTCTGGGTCTCATCCCCCACCCTCTCCGACCTGCGTGCCCCGCGGCCCACTGGCTGCCCCTTCCCACCTCGCTGTGCTGACCTCTGCACCTTTGCCTGGGTCCTCAGCCTGGATGCCCGCCCTCCTGACTTCTCGCAGACTCAGCGCCTGATCCGCCAGCCTGGGCGGAGGGGGGAGCCGTGGGGAGGGGCCCACACAAACAGGGTTCTGCGGCCTGACTGCTGACTGCCCCCCTACACCTCGGGCCTCTGTGTGCCCCTCCCAGGGGCCCACTGCCAGCACAGGGCTTTCTGCCCCAGGCCGGGGCTAAATACACTTGCTCCCACTTCCCTCTGGGCCGCCTGCTTTGGGTTGGGGTATGGGAGCAGGCTCACCCCCTGCACCAGGGCTGGTGGTTAGAGGCAGGAGTTGCTGGAGAACATTTATTGTATAAAATAATGGGCCGCCCTCCCGAGTGCAGAAACAGAAGCTCCCCTCCCCTCCCCCCAGGGAAGCCCATCCTGGGGCTGCCCTGCAGCCTGAGGGAGACCCTGCTCCCTCCCAGCCTCCCACGGCCAGGGCAGGCTGGAGCCGCGCCCCCACAGAGGAGGCAGCGTGGCTGAACCCCACCCCCGAGCCCACCCCATGCTTAGCCCTTCCCCACCCTCCGTACCCCCCCAGACTCAGACACAGGACAGCTCAACACGACAGCAGACAGGGCAGGGGCGGGGCCGTCCCGGGCTGGGCTAGAAGACGGTGCACTTCTTCCCCGGCTTCTTGACCGGGGGCGGGCACAGCACCGCCCGGATGGCCTCGTCGAACACCGTCTTCAGGCCGCGCTGAGTCAGGGCCGAGCACTCCAGGTACTTGACTGAGCCTGGGGCGCCAGGGAGAGGAGAGTGAGGGAGGAGGGCGGGTGCCAGCCAGGTGCCCACGCAGGCCCGGCCAAGCCCACTCACCGATCTCCCGGGCCATGGCCAGGCCCTGCGGGTAGGTGATGGGCGCCAGCTTCTTGTCCCGCAGCCGCTCGATGGTGTCTTTGTCGTCCCGGAGGTCCAGCTTGGTGCCCACCAGGAGGATGGGCGTGTGGGGGCAGTGGTGCCGCACCTCCGGGTACCACTGTGGGGACGGAGCTCTGACCCGACCCCTCGGGCTTCTCCCCCAGCCCGTCCCCCACAGAGCAGGCCACGGCGCCCCGAGACCCCCACTGAGCCCTTCCTGCTTCTCGGGTGACCACTAGGTTTGATGGGGGACAAGAACCCCCAGCTGGGCCCTGGCTGGTGTGGCTCAGTGGATAGGGTGTCAGCCTGTGGACTGAAGGGTTCAGGGTTCGATTCCAGTCAGGACACAGGCCGGGGCTGCTCGGTCCCCAGGAAGGCACGTGCAGGAGGCGGCCGAACGACGATTCTCTCTCATCTTTGATGTTTCTCTCTCTCCCCCTCTCCCTTCCTCTCTGACATCAATAAAAATATATTAAAAAAAAAAATCCCCAACCGGAAGCTTCCAGGCCTGTTAGGGGCTCCCAGCCGGGGCCCTTCCCTTCTCTGAGAGCCTTGTACCTGCCCAGCCGGTACCCTCGGCCCGGCCCGGAAACCCCGCGCCAGCCAAAAGGGCACCTCCATCTGCAGAGGACCCTCAGCCCCGGGTCTTCAGCCAGAGCCCGTCCCGTCGGAGCACGTCCCCGGCCCCTCCCCTCGGACAGGCCCCGGCCGGCCTGGCCTACCTTGGCTCGGACGTTCTCGAAGGAGGCTGGGCTCACCAAGGAGAAGCAGATCAGGAAGACGTCCTTGGGAGGAAGGAGGAGGGCCGGGTGGACGGGGCCAAGGAGGCCCCCGCGTCCCCGCCCCGCCCCGCGGCCCCGCCACCCGGGCTGCCGTCACCACCTACGGTCTGGGGGTAGGAGAGCGGCCGCAGCCGGTCGTAGTCCTCCTGCCCGGCCGTGTCCCACAGCCCCAGGTTCACCGGCTTCCCGTCCACCATCACGTTGGCCGAGTAGTTGTCGAAGCTGCGGGGAGGACGGAGGGTCGGCGTGCCGCCTCCGGCCTCGGCCCGCCCGCCCGCCCCGCACTCACACGGTGGGGATGTACTCTCCCGGGAAGGCGTTGGTCGTGTAGCTGATCAGCAGGCAGGTCTTCCCCACGGCGCTGCGGGCGGAGGGCGAGGCCACATGGCTCCCGGCCGCCCGGCCCCGGCCCCGGAGGCAGCCCCGCCCGCGGAGCCCCAGCCCAGGGGGGGGCCGGGGGTCCCGGCGCCGGAGACCCGCCGCGACTAGGGCTGGGGGAGGAGGACCTGGGAGGCGGGCTTCGGGGGCAGAGCGGGGGGTGCGGGAGGGAGGGGCCGGCAAGGCTGCAGCCCCGGGGAGGCCCGGTGCCCCCTCCCCCCCGCCCAGGCCCGGCGGCGGCCGGTCCCGATCCCGGAGCAGCAGGTGGGCCTGGCGGGAGGCCTCCCCGGGAGCCGGGACCCGCCCCACCGCGCCCTCCGCCCGGCCGCACCCTCCAGCCGCGAGCCCAGCCGGGCCGCCCCGGCCCCGTCCCGCGCGCCGCGCGCACTCACCCGTCGCCGACCACCACGCACTTGATGGCCTGCATGGGCGCGGGCCGGGCGGCGCGGGGCCGGGGAGCTGCGGAGAAACGCCCGCGCCGCAGCGGCCGCGGACCCGAGCCGAGCGCCGAGCCGAGCGGCCGGAGACAGCCGAGCGCCGCCGAGCGTCGGGCGCGGAGACAGCCGAGCGCGACCGCCGGGGGGCGCGGGCTTTCCGGAGAAGGGGGGTGGGGGGCGGGCAGGACACGGTGCCCCCCTCCCCCGCCTGTCCTTGAGCCCGGGCCTCCCCTCCCCCCTCGGGTTCGGCGCTCCCCGAGGCCCCGCGACCCCGGCCAAGGGGCAGCCAGGCCGGCGAGTCCCACCCACCTGCACGTGCGTGGGTGGTCCGAGTGCGCGTGGCTGCCGCTGGGAGACCCCTCGCCGGCCTGTCCGCCCTGCAGCGGGGCGATCGCCTGACCCCCCCAAGGGCAGCCCAGCCTCCAGTCTGAGCAGTCGCTCACTGTCCCCACGGGGCAGCATGTTAGGGGGCGCCCGGCAGCACCAGCACCCCGGGTCTTTCCTGCAGGGCCGGCCGGTCTCCGAGGCCCCGGGGCAGCGGGGGGCGCAGGCTGATGTGGAAGGAAGGCCCCGAGTCGAGAATGTACCACAAAGTGAAAAAGTTCTTTATTTCACAACAGCCGCTGCCGTCGCGGTTACACTGCAGAAGGCGGTGCGGGCGCCAGGAGGGAGGCTGGGAGGGCTCTGCCCCCGAATTTCCTTCCATCGCCCGCACGTTTTCGCAGGCGCACGTGTCCGGGGTGGGGCGGCGGAGTAGGGGAGGGGCGCTGGCCACTCCCGCCCGCTGGCCGCCCAGGCCGCCCGAAGGTGAGCCGAGGCGCCGACCGACTTGGCACTGATTTCTCGGCACCAGCTGCACAGCTCGCCCGGCACGGCCAAGACGCCACCGTCCTGCCGCTCCTGGGTCTCCCCGCTGCCCCTCACTTCTGGGGGCTCAGGGCCCTCACGGGGGACCCCTGCACGTAGGCCAGGACCGCGCTTTGCAAGAAGCTGGCCCTCTGGGCCTCCTCCTCCCGGATGCGCGCGATCTCCGCCTCCCGGAGCCGCAGCTTCTCGCGGAGGCAGGCGTTCTCGCTCTCCCGGTCCAGCAGCGCCTCCCGGTGGCCACTCGCCGTCACTGCGGGGGAGGAAGCTCAGTGCCCGGGCATCAGCCACTGCGAGGGCCACAGGGAGGCCGCGCGGGGTTTGCGCCTCTCAGAGCCCAGACCTCGACCCAGCCCCGCTCCGACCTGTGACCGGCGAGACCGGGTCCCGCAGGGCCGCGTGGGGGCGGGGGCGGCTCACCTCTCAGCTGCCGCTCCAGGGCTGCCACCTTCTCCTTCAGCGCCTCCTGGGCGGCCAGCTCCGCCTGCAGGCGGCCGTTCTGCTCCTGGAGCTCCACCCGCACCCTGGTCACCTCCGCCACCTTTTCCTGGTCCTTGTTGCTCAGCTCCTGCCAGGCATGTGGGTGAGAGGGCGGCGGGGGCCAGGCACCCGGGAGCCCCCGAAGGCCGGGTTACCTGCTGCAGCTCCTCCAGGCGCCGCCTCAGCGCCTCCACCTGCAGGCCTAGCTGGCTGCCCCGCGCCTGGGCCTCCGCCACCATCTGCTTCTGCTGCAGGCAGGTGCCCTGCGCCTCGTCCCGCGCCTGCGCCAGCAGCCGCAGCTTCTCCTCCAGGTGCACCAGGCGCTGCTGCTGCAGGTGCCCAGGGGCGGGTGAGTGCAGGGCGCGGGGCCTGCCCGTGGCCCTGGGGGCGTGGCCCCAGCTCGTGCCCAGGGACCGGCGGGCAGCAGTGAGGAGCGCCCCGCTACAACCAGGGAGCTCTCATTTGAACATGGTCAGTGCACCTTCGCCCGTCATTGAGTTTCATCCAAACGGGCTCAACCAGGCCGTGCGGCCGGATGGCCCAGCTCCTTCCCCACCTGGGGCTGGACATGGTGTCCATGCAACAAGGGTCGGTTCTGACTGCTCCCCCGCTGCGTCCCTGGAGCTCCTGCCTCCCCACCTCGCCTACCCCCCTCCTCCCCCGCCCCAGCCCCTGACCCCATCTCCCTCTGCAGCCCTGGCCTTGCTGCCTCAGGCCCCGCCTCCAGGTGGGCACTGGGAGCAGGGGGCTGCCGTGGCCTCACCTCCTCCAGGCGGACTTGGTTCTTGGCCTTGATGAGCTCCTCCTCCGCCTGGCCGCGCTCACTGAGAGCCACCGCCTTCGCTCGGCTCAGCTCCTGCAGCACAGAGACCCTCTGGCCCTCCTCCCGCTGGCTCTGCCCACCGGGTGAGGCTTCCATGGCTGAGGGAGCGCCCACGCCCCCTCATCCAGTCCCTCTGGGCTCACAGGTGGGTCCCCGAGATCAGATGGGCACCCAGCCGGCCTGTGCTCACCTCCTCCAGGGACAGCCGCGCGGCCTCCAGCCTCTGCACCCGCTCCTGCAGGGCCCGCTCGCTCTCCTCCAGGTGGCGGGCCATGTGCTCCACCTGCCCGGGTGCAGGCGGGACAGGACTGTAGGGCTGGCTCCCAGCCTTCCCCCGGTGGGACCCTGACCCTGGGAGGCAGGTGGATCTCGGGGACCCTGTTCCTGCCAAGAGGCTGCCCCAAGGGTCTCAGGAAGCGGAGATGGGGGTCATGTCCCAGCGCCACACCCCGGTGGCACGGAGCCCATGGCAGCTGTGCCCCCCCCCCCCGTGTGGGAGGGGTCCCTCTAGGCTCTGGTTAGAAGGTTCTGGGTCTGGCATCTGCTGGGGCAGGTGCAAGGCTGCCACCGAGCTCCCCAAGGGAGTGAGGGGAGCCCAGCCAGGGGTGTGCTTTGGGGACATCAGGCTGCACTGAGGCGCCTGCAGGCCCCAGGCGGACATGGGGAGAGCACGAGGCCCGACGACACCACGAAGGAGGCACCTCCTTGATGCGCAGCTGCTCTGCGTCCTCCAGGCTCTGCCGGGACCTCCTCTTCTCCAGCTCCAGGCGCTCTGGGAGCAAAGGAAGGCGTGGACCGGCTCCTCCGGCCCCTCGTTCCCCCGACTCCACCTGCCCGCCCAGGGCTCCCGTCTCCAGGCCCTGCTGGTGCCCACCCTCGGCCTGCACGGCCCGCAGCTTCAGCTCGGCCGCCGTGTTGGTCAGCTCCTGCTTGGTCAGGAACAGCTGGTCCTGCTGCGACTTCACTTTCCGCTCCAGCTCGTCCACCTGGAAAGCCAGCTCCGTGGAGGGGACGCTCCGCCCAGCCCTGCATTCCCTGGGGCCGGGCCCCGCAGCCCTCTACCTGGCCCCACACCCCCCTACCTGGCCCTGCACCCCTCTACCTGGCCCCACACCCCCTACCAGGCCCTGCACCCCTCTACCTGGCCCGCACCCCTCTACCTGGCCCCACACCCCCTACCTGGCCCTGCACCCCTCTACCTGGCCCGCACCCCTCTACCTGGTTTCGCAGAAGCAGGTTCTTCTCGTTGGCAGCAGACAGGTCTCTGAGCAGTTTAGACTCCCGCTCTGCAGCTTCCTAGGGGTGCGATGGGGAGGGCACCACTGGGTGGCCACCTGCCACCACGAGCCGCCTGTCGTCTACGCCGCCCCTGCCCACCCACCTGCTGCTCCAGCCTGTGCTCCTTGGTCAGCTTCTGTGCCAGGCTCTGCTGCTCCTGCCCCGCCGTGGCCAGGAGCTCCCCCAGGTCCTGGGCCTTCTGCTCCCACAGTGCCAGGGCGGCCTCGGTCATCTGCAGCCTGCAAGGGGGACAAATCCACCACCCGCTCCGTGAGCCCTGCTCCAGCCTCACCTCCGCCTTACAAAAACCTCCCGTCCTGTCCTTACTTTTGCCAGGCCCTATTCACCTCCTCCAAGAAGCCTCCCAGGGTTACCACCAAGCCGTTTCCCACCTTTATGCACAGGAACTCGGGTCCATGTCTGCACCCTCCTCTGTCCCGTGGGCCTGTCTCTACAGCATTCCGGAGCCTCCCTCCCACTGCCTGCCCTTCCGCCACTCACTTGGCCTTGAGGGCGTTGATGATGGAGTGCCTCTCATCCAGGGCCTCCTGAAGCTGTCCCACGCGCGCTGCCGACGCCCTTCGGGCAGAGAGGGGGGTCAGGAACCCAGAGTGTCGTCCCCCACCCCCACCCCCGTCCCCGGACCCTGGGGCACCGCCCTTTCTCCTGCTCCCACCACACCCCAGGCACTGGGCTGGGGAGTGCCCCGCTGCCTGCACCCTCGAGCCAACGTCATTGGAGCACACGCCACGACCTCACTGGTGAGCAGGTGACGAGGCTCAGGCTAGGCCACCCCAGGTCAGAGGCACGGCCGACCCCTGGGCGTCCCAGCGGAGGCCAGCTCACCGGCTGCTCTTGGCCATCTCCTCCCGCTGCTTATCGATGGTCTGCATCAAGTCCAGAAACTGGGGACGGAGACGCCAGAGCCCTGTCAGGGCCGGGCTCGGTGGGAAGGAGGGGACCCCACCAGGCGCAGGACTGCGGAGGGGGAGTGCGTCCCGCACAGGGGACCTGCTCACCTGGCCAGAGGGTCAGACCAGGGAAGCAGCGCCAAGGCCTGGTGTCGGCCACTCAGAGAGGGTCCAGGGCCCAGAGGAAGGGAAGGTGGCGGGGGCCGGGCCGGGACCAGGAGGGACCTTCCACCACGCAGCCAGGCCGGGCCGGGGCTGTCAGGCAGCACCGTGCTCACCTGCTTGGACTTCTCTTCCCGCAGGTGCCGCACCTCCTTGCTGAGCACGCGGGTGCGGGCCCGGTTCTCCCGGACGGTGGCCTCCCGGTCCTGGTTGTGGTCCATGGCTTGTTCTGTAGGGAGACGCTGAGTTACCCACCAGGGGCTGGCTGCTCAGCCTGGCCCGAGCTCAGAAGCCAGCAGCCCGAGGATCAGGCCTGTGCGTGGCAATGGCTCACCCACAACCATGCAGACGCCCAGGGCACTGGGGGCTGAAGGGCTTCAGTGTGGGTGTGGGGGGCACCAGACATGGGGTGGGGGGCACACACGGAGAGAGGCATTTGCCCTCCGTCCCCGAGGTCAAAGGCCACAGTGTGACTTTTAAGTGGTGAGCTCCTGTGTTCTGGGAAGACCTGGGCAGCATGTGGAGAGGGACCGGCCAGGAGTGGCCCTGGTGTCAGGAGTAATGACAACAGCTGGGGTGACCCAGAGGCAGGCCCAGAATGAAGGAGCCAGAGGTGACACGGGCCAGGCAGCCCCAGCAGGAGGTGGAGAGCTGTGCAGGGTTCCAGCCGAGTGTGGGCCCTTGATGGCTGGCAGGATGAGGAGCCTCAGGGAAGGGCGGGGTACTCTGCTGGGCCTGGGCCGAGGAGCCAGCATCGCTGACGGGGAAAGGGCCGTGGGGGCCGTGGCTCGGACCTGGCGGCCATGAACTCAGGGGTGGCGGGGGCAGATGCCCCCCGAGGCAACAGCTCGGCCGTCAGGGCAAGCAAGGCCGGGGCCACACTGCCTCAGCTTCCTCATCTGTGGAATGGGTGACCGCCCTTGGGGGAATCTAAGAACCAAATGAGCAGGTTCCAGGAGCGGCTCTCGTTCCGTTTTTTTTCTAGGGACACGCCCTCCCTCGGAGGCGGGGCCTCGGGCACTTTATGGTCCGACAGCTCCGAACAGGGCGCCCGTACCCACGGCTCTGAGGACATCGCTGGGGACGTTGTTCCCGGCCAGCTCCAGCCTCCACAGGGTTCTGTTGCTGGGGAGACAGCTCACCAGGGCCCGGCCGCCCAGGAGGCCGATGTTATTCCAGCGCAGGTCTGGGAGGAAACCTCGTCACCTGGGGAGCCGGCCTGGCCAGGATGCTTCCTTTGGGGCATCACCAACAGGCAGGAGCCCAGCGTGGCTCCCCCGGCCTCCTGACCCCAGCCCTTGGCTCCCGGGACAGGACAAGAGAAGTGGCGGGAGGGCGAGGGAGCCAGCCGCCGGGCCTCACCCAGCTGCTGGAGGCTGGTGTTGCCCTTCAGGGCCAGGGCCAGCTCCTCCGCGCCCTGGTGGCTGATCTGGTTGTTGCGAAGGTCCAGCTGCCGCAGGGTGAGGTTGCCCGCCAGCGCCCGGCAGAAGGTGGCGAAGGCATCTTCCCAGGCACCCAGGTTGTTCCACTCCAGGGTGAGGCTGCAGGAAGGGTCGAGGAGCACCTGCTCCCATGGGGTCCCTGGGACTTGGGGGGGGGGGGGCTGCGGGCAGGCCCGGGCTTCTCTGGCAGGAAGTCTGGAGCCACGTGTGGAACCTGTACCCGCCTAATCCCCGCAGATGGACAGGAAACAGGCAACCGGCTGGAAGGTCTGAACCCTCAGGGGCAGAACCCAGTCCTCTGGGGCCAGCCCTAACCGGTGCAGAGAAACGGGGGGCTGGGGAGGAGGGCGGGGGGCCGGGTGGCACCTTACCTCTGAATGGACTTGTTCTGTCGGAGGAGTTTGCCCAGAGCCTCAGCCCCTTTGGCCTGAAGGTTGTTGCCCTGGGACAGACAGGAAGAGGCAGACCCGGGCCGTTCACAACCCACAGGGCCCTGGTCAGGCCGTGGGGGGGGCCAGGCTCGGCTCCCTGCCCGCAGTGGGCCACCTGGGGCCGGTTCGTTTGGTTTGCTTATGGGGACCCTCTGGAACTCACACTCCCACCCTCAGCACACACACACACACACACACACACACACACACACACACACGTGCACACAAACATGCGCCCGGGACTCCCCAGGACACAGTGACGCTGGGTGCCAACAGTTCTTACAGTCTCCGGCCACGGCCCAGACCCCATGTCGCCGGGGCACCCACTTCCTCCCCCTCTCGGCAGGTCCCTCACCTTCAGATCCAGGAGCCGTAGGATGGTGTTGGCACACAGCCCCTGGAGCAGCAGTGTGGCCCCTGTAAGGGGGCAGGGCAGTCACTCTCTGCCCCTGGGGCCCTGGTTGGGCCCCATCTTGGGGCACCTCCTCCGACTCCTGGGAGGGAAGCCAGTCCCGGCCATTGGCCAGGAGCCCCGTCCTGTGTCAGGTGTGAAATACCAACGACCTCTGCCCAGCATGCAGCCAGGCCGCCAGCCCGTGCCCATCAGCACCCTGGACTCTCCTAAGGCTTCTTGGTTACAAACAGCAATGCCCTCGCCCCCAAGCTTGCAGAAGGGACCTCGCTGCCTGCTAGCTCCAGGGCCCAAGAGGAGGAACCTCCGGGACAGGGGGATGGAGTCTCTATTGGGACTGAGGGCCGGGCGCATGCGGCCACGGAGCGCGGGACAGAGGGAGGCCGCCGAGGCTCAGGGCTCAGGCTGCCCGCCCGCCGCCCACCTTCCTCGCTCAGCATGCAGTCGCTCAGGACCAACTCCGTCAGCTGGGCCTCCTTGGGCAGCAGCGCGCCCAGCGCCCGGCAGGTGTCCAGGGTCAGGCTCTGCGTGGCCAGGTCCAGCCGGCCCCGCGGCAGCTCGTGTAGTCGCTGCAGCACGGTCTCCTGGGGCTCGGCGCCCCGTTCCCTGCACAGCCGGCTGTAGGAGCGCAGGAACTCCTCCATGTCCCCGGGCAGCCGGCGGGGCGCCTCCGCGCGCCGCGGGAGCCAGGCCCCACCGTCTTCAGAGTCAGGGCCAGCTCCCAGGGGTACAACGAATGGGCTCTACAGGTGGGGGGCCCCAGATGGGCAGAGGTGGCATGCGGCCGGAGCGGGGCCTCGGGTCCGGGCGCCCCCGTAGCAGGGCCGGGCCGGGCGTCACCCGTACCCGGGACCCCAGACTTGGCGCCGCGCACTGCGCGGCCCCCGCGGCGCCTCTGTATCCAGGAAGAGCAGGGTGCGCCGGGAACGGCTGGAGGAACTACAACTCCCAAAAGGCTTTGCGGAGAAAGGGTGCCCATCACTGGCCAATGAGGGAGAAGGGGCGGGCGCGCGCTGGGACGCCAGCCCGAAGTCGAGGCAACGCGCTCCGAGCCAATGGGAGGGGACGAGGGCGGGGCTTAGGAGGGCGCGCTCAGGTATGATTGGCTAGATGAGTATGGGTGGGGCTAAAGTGGGGCGCGCTTACAGCTCATTGGCTGGGAGCGAGAGGGCGGGGCTCCGAGGAGCGCACGCGGCGGTGGCGGTCATGGAGGGAACCAGCGCCTGCTTCCGGAAGGTGAGAGAGGGGGCGTGGGGTCCGGGTCAGGAGGCACCCTCTTAGGGCGGGTGCATCCCCAGAACCAAGCCGCGACCCCAGCCTGTGCGGCCCTCGCTGCTCCCCTCCCGGCGGCTGGGGTGAGGCACAGCGACCCCAAGCCCCGCCTCCGCAGTCGAGGACCCAGTACCGGGGGCGCCGAGGGGAGCCGGGCCCGCGCCCCGGTTCGCCCTGACGGTGGGGACTCGGCGGGACTTTGCCTGAACTGCTAGGCGTGGAGCGCAGGTCCGCACAGCCCCGGACGCCCCTGGCTGCTCCCTGCGCTTCCGTCTCCCCGGAGCCGAGGCCCCGCTGCAGCTCGGCCTGGTGTTGGGGCGCCACCCGCGCTTCCTTCGCCTCACCCCTCAAACCTCAGCGCCCCCGGCGACGGGGAGCGGCCGCCTGTCCTGCTCTGCACCCGGCAAAGGCGGCCCAGCCTCCGGGTGCTCTGCTCCGAGCCCTCGCCCGGGAAGGTGCGCCCGGGGCCTCAGCCCGTGAGCCTTCCTCGCTCCCGCGGCCCCAGCCTTGCCGAGCAGGGGGGCTTCTCGCCGGTTCGCTTCCGCCTCCGTCCTCTCTTCCCGTCACCCGGGCCGTGGCCCAGGCGTTAGTCGCCGAGGCAGGTGACCAGCAGGCGGCCGAGAGCCCCTTTGTGGCGGCTGGAGGCGGCACGGGGCGGTCCTCCATCGCGCCCGCCTGGACAGCCCTGGGGCCTCCCCAAGGGCTCCGTGCGGAGCTGGGGCTGCGGTCAGTGCCCCGAACAGGGAGGGAGGAGGGAGGGCTGTGGTGCCCACCTGTCCTCCAGTTCCTGCCCCTTTCTTGTTGGGGAAGCTCCCTGCGCAGCCCGTCCACAGGGGGCGGGTCGGCTCTTCCTGGGGTCAGGGCCCGCCCTGGTGGCAGCAGGGCCAGCAGGTGGCACCAGGCTCCGCTCACTGCTGCCCGGTGCTAGGTTCCTGCCCTTGAGCTTGGGCCCCACCGGTGGGCAGACCTGTGAAGGGGCCACAGGAAGCACGTTCTCGGGCCGGGGTGGGGGAGCACGAGGCGGCCCAGGATTCCTGGAAACGAGCCCCAGACGGGCGGCTGGCACCTGGGCTGCTCCCACCTGCCCACCACCCAGTCCCCACCCTGGGAGGTCTGGGGACCGAAATCACACCTTCCCACCCACAACTGCCTGCCTGGGGGCCTGTGGTCTCGGGTGGGGGGGCCAGAGTCTGTCCTGTTGGTCCCCCAGGAACTGGTGAGCAAGCTGCTGCACCTGCACTTCGAGGACGACAAGACCAAAGGTGGGCGCCAGCCTGGGGCGGGAGGGCCCTGGGGCTGTGGCCGGCTCTGTGGGGGCCCGGGAGGAAGTGGGGGGGTGGGGGCAGCATCCCTGGCCAGGGGAGTGGGAGAGGGCGCCCTGGTGACCTGCTCCCTCCACCTTGCAGTCAGCGGGGATGCGCTGCTGCTCGTCGCCGAGCTGCTCAAGGTCTTCGTCGTGGGTGAGTCTGTTCTCCTGGTCCCGCCTGCACGACGTGTCTCCCCTTTGCCCACATGTGGCCTTGAGGTTCTGAGCTGCTGGCTCGCAGCTGGGGCCGAGGCCCACGGGGTGGGGTCAAGGTTCCAGCCTCCGGGCCTCCCTTCCCTCCTGTCCCGGCAGAGGCCACCGTCCGCAGCATCAGGCAGGCCCAGGCGGAGGACCTGCCCTGTGTGGACGTGGAACAGCTGGAGAAGGTGCTGCCGCAGCTGGTAGGTGGGCCCGGGAGCAGGGCCAGCCCAGGGCTGGGGGTGGGCGGACGCCCAGCAGGCTGAGCACTCTCCCCCCACAGCTTCTGGACTTCTAGGGGCTCCCACCCGCATGGAGGCCACCTGTCCGGCTCCGACCAGCCCAGCGCCCATGTCTTCTGTGGCCTCTGGCTTTAGACGGGAAGGGCCCAGCACTGGGCGGGCCCAGGCCATACACTGTTGTCCCCCGGGTGCTCCGTCTGCCCTGCCGACGGCCTGGACGCAGCTGAGAGGCCGCTGTGCGGGGACCAGACTAGCGGCAGAAGCGGGCCGCGCAGTCCTGCGTGGCATCAGAGCGGTGCCCCTCCTCCCTGTGCGCTCCCAGACGCCGCCCTGAGCTGCAAGCTTGTTCTCACAGCAACAGCAATAAATCATGGCCGTTCTCCCAGGCAGAGCCTCCCACTGCCATTCACCCCAGTCAAGCAGCCGCAATGCCGACCCTCCATCCTGGCAGGACACACTCCTGGCCAGCGAGGGGCTCGCCCCTGCCACTCCCTGCCCGCAGGCAGGCCGGCAGGGAATGTGGGTGTGGGCAGGGCCTGCTGGTGGAGATGCTGGGGGGTGGGTGGAGGGACCTGAAGACCAGCTGCCCGGCAGTGCCAGGGACCAGCAGGTCAGCCTCAGGCCACGCCTACCCCAGAGACTGCTGTGTGGAATCGCTAGAAGTGGGGCTGAGAGGTCTGGCTGCTTGGGATGCTCATGGGCCTTTAGGGCCCAGCTCCATGGCATGGGGCCCAGACACCCTCAACCTCATCCCCCACCCGCCTGAATTCTGAGTGCTGCTTCAACAGTGCCCAGGGCAGGAAACACCTGAAGGGCTCTAGGTCAAGTGACTATGGGCTGGGGCGGAGCCACCCACCTCCACCAGGACCTTCAAGGCAGCCCCCTGCCCCACCACCCCCTGGAGGGCGTGGACTGGCCACAAGCCCTCCATCCCTCATTGGGCCCTGCTGGCCCCCTCCTGCACCCCTTCCAGCCTCTGCCCCCGCCGTCCTCTCCCTGCCACCTCGGGAGTCCTTGGGCTTCAAAGTGCTGGGGCCAGTGCCCGAGCCCCAGCCACTATGAGGTGCCCCGGTGGGGAGGTGGGCAGGGAGCTCCAGGTCAGGCTGCCAACCCACCCTAGGGTGCCAAGAGCGAGGTGTCAGCCTGTGCGGACAGGCCAGGCCTGGAGGAGGGGATGGATGATGGCAATGAGGCAAAGCCGCTAGGAGCAGCTGCGTAATGAGAACAGGCCCAGCAAGGGGACCACACACTGAGGTCCAGCCAGGCTGCGGACTGGCCAGTCCCGGAGCTGGGGGCCAGTGCCCGGAAGCCTGGACAGGCGGGCAGCGTCAGGCGGCAGCCAGGCGAGGACCGCGCGCCCTTTCTGGAGAAGGAACAGGAGGGTCTCGGGAGGTGCTCAGGCTTTATTCGCACGCAGGGTGAGGAGAAGGGTCCCGTCCCCGGCCAAGTGGGCACCTCCGGCTGGCGGCTCTCACCTCCTGCTGGCTGCAATGCAACACACGTGACCTGGGGCCTGGCTCCCGCCCAGCAGCCCTCCCAGCCCGGCCCAGCCGCCCTCACAGTACCTGGCAGCTTTAGCCATTTGGGCACCTTGCCTAGGTCCCTCCTCAGGGGCTGGGCTGTCCCAGGGCTGGGCTCAGGGGGCCCCACTGCACCCTCCTCAGCAGCTGCCTCCAACTCGAGGGGCACAGGGTCAGGGGCTGGCAGCGGGGACGGGGTCACGGAGGTCCTAGACATGCACCTGCGGTAGAAGGCACAGGTAGCGAGCACTGCAGCGATGCCCTCCCACCCTGGCACTGCCAGCACCTGGGGCTCTCACCTGGTCACCAGCACGTCGGCTGCAGATGGGGAGACCGTGTGTTCCAGCAGCTTGGGCTCCAGATAGAGACCTGCAGGCGGCAGCACCCTCAGGCCATGGGGAGGGGGGCCATGGCCTGGGCGGGGCTGCCCTGGAGCCCCAGGAGGGGGGGTGGGGGGGAATCAAGCCACAGGTCTTCCTTGCAGGCCCTGCTCTGGGACCCACTCACCTGTTGGCTCCTCAGCCCCGAAGTGCACCAGGGCAGCAGGGAAGAGGTTTGCCTGCAGGAAGGGCAGAGGGAGCTCAGGGGCCAGGCGGGCACTGAGGGCAGAGACAGGGCTGCAAGGGACAGCCCCAGACACAGCCTGCACCTGCCCCTGCCGACTGCCCCGAGGACCATGGCTGTGTCCTACAGCTGACCCAGGGCAGTGACCCCACCGCAGCCGTGTCCTCCGCCGGGAGCCTGTCTTCCCTGTGCTCTCGGCTCCAGCTCCGCACTCTGGGAGGCGAGGTGGGGGGACTCGTGGGAAGCCTCAAAGGCCAGGCCTGGGAACGCTGAGACAGCCCACGCCGGGCGACGGACAAGGGCCATGACGCCGGGTCAGAGCTCGTGGGTACATGGGGGGCAACCCTGGGGCCTGAGGCTGGAGGTGGCCGAGGAGCAGGGAGTGGGTGTAGGCAGGACAGTACCCACCCTCTCTGCAAGGCCAGACCCCGACTCGGGGACCACCAGGTGCTGGGCCTCCCCTCGGCACCCCACAAGGCAGCATCGGGCCATCTGGGGCCATTGAAGGACCCTCCCCTCGCACCTGTCCAAAGCCCCGCCCCACCGGTCTGCATCTCTGGGATCCCAACCGACCAGATGCCTGCCGACCACAGGACACCCACAGGGAGGCTGCCTGCTGCCATGCGGAGGGTCCCCCAGGCGGCAGGGGCTCAGCACCCACTGAGGTGAGGCCTGGTCCTGGGCAGGTGGTGGGCGGGGCTCCGGCCCAGGAAGCAGATTTGCTGTGGGGTGCTGGGGGCCTTTGTGTCCACTGACTGCAACCCCCCATGGCCCTCGGCCGCTCCCAGACACTCCTGGTCCAGCAGCCAAGAGGGCAGCTGGGCCGCCGCCCCCACACCCATGCTGTTACCCCAGGAACATGGGCAGGCCCCAGGCAGCAGCAGCCAGCTTGCGGCTCTGCCAGCGACATGAAAGCCGCGGCTTCCGAGCTGCTCCCCCCGGGAGGCAGGAGGCGGGAGGCTTCCTTCCCCGAGCCCTGCCAGCTCTGATCTTGGGCAGGGCCGCACCCCGGGGAGGCCCCGCGCGCCAGGCCCGAGCTGACGGATGAAAGGAGGCGGCTGCTGGTAGCTGGGGGCAGAGTGGGTGGGACGGCACCCAGGGCTCCTAATGGGGGCCTCGGTCCCCTCCCAAAGCACCTTCCCAATCCAGTGCATCAACAGGCTGCCGGGAGCGGGGCAGGCGGGGTGAGGAGAGCACCCAACACCTTCGGGCTCCTGGGCTGAGGGGGGCAGGCACGGCTCCCCCCAGCCTGACTCCGTTCCTGGTGAGTGGCCAGCTCTGCCAGGTCTTGTCCCATCTCCCCAGGACCTGCAGCCCCAGCTCAGACCTCGCAGGCCTGCGGGCCACTTAACAAGGGCTGGCCTCTGTTAGTAATTAAAATATCTGAGGCGGCTTTGAAGAGGAAACCATTAGGCCGGGCCGGGGAGGCCCCAGGCTGCCCTCCCCTTGAGGACAGGACATTCCTCCTGCTCTGGAGGCGGCCCAGCAGGCGCTGGGTCAACACTCCTCACCCTCCAGGAGCAGCCGCAGGGGGGCCGCAGGGGCAGCCAGCGGGAGGGCCCGGCTGGGAAGGCGGGCAAGGAGCAGGCAGCAGGGGCCTCCAAAGCAGCAGGCCACTTGCAGGGGGGGCTCTGACCCCTGACCTCAGGACCTGCCCCAGCTGCGCTGCCTGTGGACCCTGTCCACCCAGGCCCAGGGCAGGGAGCTCCGCAGCCAAAGGGCCGTCCCCTGGGGCAGCAGCAGAGGAGGCAGGAAGCAAGCACAAGGCCAGCTTTAGAGGCTCTGCACCCCCCACCCCGGCCCGGGCCTGCAGAGCAGCCCCAGAGTCCACCCCCGCTCGGGCCGGGGGCCAGTACCTGAAAGAGGGTCAGCGTGTGGTCCTCCAGGATGGTCTTTGGAGGAGTGATGACTGGGGAGAGAATGTCTTCGTGAGGAAGGCCTCGCCCCACCCCCTCACCCCTCACCCCTCACCCGTTCCCCAGGGACGACTGGTCGGAGGGCTGGCAGCCTCAGCTGGGGCTACTCTAGAAGAACCCTCAGTCCACAGCCTTCTGCCCACTTCTCTGCTGCAGCAAAACCCTGGTGAGGGGCTTGGGTGGGGGGAGTAACCCGGGGCAGCCCCTGCCAGGACCCCAGCCTTCAGCACCCCATCCACACAGCTCCGGCTGCTGGCAGCAGAGGACCGTGTCCCTATGGGGAGGCGCAGGGCAGGCCTGGAGCAGTACTCACACAGGTGGAAGGGCAGCGCGGGGTTCCCCAGGTGGCTCCTCACAAAGTCCCGCAGGTCCCCCACTGAGAAGGAAGGGGAGGGTGAGCGGGGCCCCAGCAGACGCACCCCGATGCTGGCCCCAGTGGGACTGGACAGGCCGACCACACCAAGCTGCCCCCTACCCTGGGCAGCCACCTCCTGGGCCTTGGCACTCAGGACACCAATCCGAGCCCAGGGCTGGGAAGTCCACCTCGTTCCTTCCACAAGACCCAGACACTCAGTGGGCCGGGGCAGGGCCACTCCCCGGGGCAGGACCCTGTCCCCACCCTGCAAGGCCTCCCTTCACCTCTCTCTGCCCTAGCCTGGGCAGAGCTTTCCCTCCAGGAGCTGCCCCAGGCCTGCATGCCAGCCCGACAATCACCCAACATGCTCTGCAAGTTCAGAGCCCGCTGCCTGCAGCCCCCAAACCCCCGCCTCCCCGAGCCCAGGGCCCGGCAGCCACAGGCCCACAGCCTGGAGGGAGCCGTCCCGGACGCCGGGCGCGGCCCTACCTGTCTCGCTGGGGCGGAAGAAGCCCTGCAGGATGTAGCGGTCAGGGAACAGCACCCTCAGGACCACCTGGGTCGGACAAGCATGCTGTCAGGACAGCCGGAGCCCTGCCCAGCAGGGAGGACCCCACCCGGGGCCAGAGCAGGCGGAGGTGCCAGCCGCCCCTGCGGGTGCTGCCCCCAGCACCGTGCATATAGACTTGTTTTCATCACAAAGCCGGGCCGCGGCTGTGCGAGCTCCGGGGAGCACCCTCAGCGGCCTGGGCAGGGCGGTCGCAGGAGCCGGCTCGGAGCCGCCCGCACCTTAGGGTACCGCTCCAGCTTCTCCTTCATCTGAGCCTCCCTGAAGGCCTTGGTCACTAAGGGGGCCTCTTCCAGGCGCTTCCTGTGGAAGGAAGGGGGCAGGTGAAGGTCCTGGTCTCCGGCCAGAGAGGAGGCCCACCCGGGCTGGACAGACAGGCCCCTCCAGGTGCGGCCACGCACGGAGCTGGGCACCCGCAGTGGGAAGCGGGAGACCGAGGGGCGGGCACACCCACCGCTCACTCT